AATCCAATTGATAACTGTTTTTGAATCGGACCATAAAAAGACTTCATCTGGTTTTATGTCGTGGCTGTTGACAATAGCATCTTTAAGGCGAACTCCCAATACGGCTGCCTGAAGTGCTAATCGAGGGATAGATAACGGCTTTAAAGGGCTACAGTTTGCTTACCTAAAACGAAGCCAACTGATACTTCGTCATAATATTCAATCCTCCAGTAAGCAACGGCGGCATAGGCTTCTTCGCTGCCGTCAAAAAAAACATGCAGTTGTATTATGCAATTATTTTCCAAAAACTTCGAGTGATAACATCTTGAGTTTACTGCGTTAATCATTGTATACCAATTATTCCATACATTTTTTTGATAACATAATGTGCGATAAATCCAAATGGGTCAAAAATAGACATAATAATAGACAGTACTTGTCTTTTTGTGGGATATGATTTCATGTTGACGACTGATTCGGGTATTTTATTAAATTTAAAAACAAAGCAAAATATATAATCTTTTGGATTCCAGTGTAAGCCCAAAATCTTTTCAGTGATTGGCTTGGATTAAGGCCTGTTAGGTTTGCTAGCTGTGGTATATTTTTGATATTTAACAAATGCATTAATTGTTCTGAGTTTGAAACGAAACCACGAAGCTCGAAGTCAGCATTTTCGTGAATTTCAATAACCTTTTTTACAACGGAATAAGCTTCATGTATATTACTAAAGCTATCAACATAGTCATCAACATAATGGCGTTCTATTTTGGCTTGCACGGCTCTACTGTTTTTATCTAAAGAGGTTTTGGCCTTTGTGTTTTTAACATACTGCGCTGAACAAGGCGAACTGGCTGATCCAAAAATCATTACTTGCATAACGTATGTGCTAGGCTTGTTGACATTACTATCTCTCCACATAAATCTTTGCGAATCCTGGTCCTTTTTTCGAATGGCGACCTGATGAAACATCTCTTTGATGTCTCCACATATGCCAATGCTTCCTTCGCGAAATTTTATTAAAATTGTTGGTAACGGTACGGGTTGGTAAACGTCTGGTCCTTTCATTCTCTCCAGTACAACCCCCCAAACTGCAGCATCAAGTTTGCTCTTCTTCTTCCTCTTTTTGCTTCTGCTAGAGGCGCATATACCTCAGTGTCGGAAGTTTACCTGGGTACAGGGTATTTCACTGTCGGGCTTGCTCGACTGTAGCGTTCTCTCTTGTTATATATGCGGTGCGTTCCAAAGTAAACAGGACACCCCCTGGTTGCGCTATCTATATGTCGACTGGTGCGTTAGAATCTGCTATCTTTATCGATTGTCCAGTGAGAATTTATTGACATTTCATCGATTGGAAGTGTGTTTGTGCTATCGGTGCGAAAATGAGCTTCGAACAAAGATGTTTTAAAATTGGTAAAACTTTTACCGAAATGTTTCAATTGATGGAACAAGTTTATGGCGATGATTGCCTATCCCGTAGCAGAGTGCACGAGTGGTTTCAACGTTTTCAAAGTGGTCGTGATGGAAATGGAATTGAACATCGCCAAAACATCGATTTATTGCATTTTGACCGAACATTTGGGCTTACGAAAGGTGTGTGCACGGTTTGTTCCGCACAAGTTGACTGACGACCAAAAATTGCTCTCACCGATCGACGCTTGTGACCGATTCTTTGACCAAAAATCACATTTTAACCATTAACCACTCGCCGTATTCACCTGATATGGCACCGTGCGACTTCTACCTTTTCGGAAAAATGCATTTGCCCAAGAAAGGAAAGCGTTATGCGTTATGTGTTCATATAACAATTGCACATTTTTTTTCCCAATACATCATTAATTTGGTCGCTCAAAATAATAGTAGCGCTTCAGTTGTTGTTCTCTTATTTGTCCCAACTAATCCAAATAATACGGTTATTTTTAATATTATTAAAATTTATATAAGTATTTTGTAGCATAGCTTTTGTTTGCAATAACTGCAGCACATCGCTTCGGCATGGAGTCCACAAGATTCCGACATCTTTGAGGAGGAATGGAACTCCAAACATGTCTAACTGGTGTTTGGTTGACGCTTGGAAACTTCCTTCCTTCTTGACATCGCACCATAAATACTCAACCGGGTTGAGATCTAGAGACTGTGGCATATGGTTTTTTTTTTGGAGGGGAACTGCGAACTCGATCTGCTGTTGCAGAGAGGTATGTGGGACGAGTTAGTTACATATTGAGTTAGTTACCGGCATGCCCCACTCCATGGTCCTTGAGTTGAAGTCGCCAGCAATTATTAAACTACCACCTAGAGTCCGCGCCTGGTCTTCGATGGCGTCTAGTTTTTTCTGGAATTCTTCCAAGTTGTCACTTTGAGTCTAGTAGCAGCTAATTATTGAGAATCCCCATCCTCGTGCCCATACGAATCCGTCTCCAATCCGAACAATTTGTTAGATAGAACTTTTGAAAACGAGGCCTTGTAAGTAATGCTGTCTTGCTCAGATGCATGTTTGCTTGAAGAATTTTTATCATGTCTGAACTTTTACTGCTGCACATTTGCCAGAGGCAGGAATGTGGTCTACCATTTGAAGTCCCGCTTCTTTCCATAGGCAGCACTTCGGTTAATTTGTGCACTCTTTTATCTTATGGCCAGTCTGTCCACATCGGATACAGATACCGTTGCCTTTTCTATCCGATCCTTTGCAATCCATTTGCCCATGACCCACTCCAAAGCATCTATATCAGCGTTTAATGTTTACGCGATGTCTCATCCTCCCTCTGGAGAAGTACTGTGGCAGCCTCGCTACCTAGAGTTACCTATGCTTGTACCATTTTTCGGCTATTGGGTGCAGTGACCACAACTCTAAGCTGGTCTACTGGTTGTGGGGGGATTCGTCTAACGGCATCTTCTACTTCCTTGGCGGTTGTGAGTACGTCTAAGTCTCGTTTCTCGACTGTGGCTGTTGGCTTGAGACTGGCGACTTCCGCTGTCTGCTGTAGTGTTTCTTTGATTATTTCGCAGAAATCAGCGCTAACTTTTTCACCTGCACCTGCTTTAGTTTTACTGACCGCTCGGATTTTGATGTCCGCATCAGTCGTGTTAATATATTCGCGTAGCTATGGCCTTCCCTGGTTTGATGAGTATGGCTTCGTTCTTGGGGCCCTTGGCCTTGGTTTGTCTGGGAGTTTTATCGTTAACTCTTAAATCCCGTCCATCATTTTTGCGAGTACGCGTCCTTTTAGGCTTAACGACTTGCCAAATTTCAGGTCCTTTTTCTCGCATTTTCTTTCCACTCGGAGTATTCCCGTTCACTGGTCTTGTTAATGGTCTCTTATGACTCGGCTCTGCGGGTGTCGCTGCTGTATTGGTCTCTCTGGCTAGGCTATCAAGGTGACTTCTTTTTTCATGAAGTTGTATGATGCTTCCACCCAGTTTCGTCAACATGATCGAGGTTTTTTCTCCAATTCCCCAACTCCTTGCTTGACGTCCTTTCTTACGTTCTTCTGTACTTTTATAACAGTTCTCATTTTGCGAAGAACTTTTCGACACTCTTGCAGCGCGGATTCCTCCTCATTTCGCATCTCTTTGATAAATTCCTGACGTGGTGATAGCTGTGATATTGCCTTTTGGTGGGTGGTCACAGTGGTGTGGTCAACTCCATTGGTACTTTTTTCTTGCACCTGCGTGCTTATCTTGCTGGGTGTGAGTCCTGAAGAAGGTGGAGCTGACTCCGGCAAAATGGACAAAGTGAGGATACGTCTGTCCAAGTTTGTGAAGATGGCGGGACTATAATACCAGCCTCGCCTGGAACCCAATACGAGAGCGTCCAAGGAATCTGAAATCTGAATAATTTTGCAGTTAATCTGGCCGACGAGTATACCGTGGCTAGAGCAAAAGTGAAAAGTAGGATTTTTCTAGCACGCGCTTCCTACATTGTCATCAATAAACATTGTCATTAATTGTGTCAAGATCCTAAAAATCACTATTAGTGAATTCTCTCGAAAATCTATTGTCCAGGAACTTTCAATGACTGGTGGATGTGCTTAGTGGCTCTAACTGGACTATGATCGACAGATGAGCTGCCCCAGGTTGGTATTTTTTCTGGGGCTTAGAGCTTCAAATCCTATACAATCAAGGCAAAGGAAGTTTTGGAATTTTCACTTTTATGTGCCTTCTGATGTAAATTCACTCTTCACGATATCCGTCCTCCCTTGGTTTTCCGTAATAGTTAAAGTCCGGGTGCTGCATTCCTCCTCAAATCCGCAAAAAGGCAATAAGAAGCGCCTGTCTGCGGCAAGACGAGTTGGGGACTGTGCTGGTGGCGGTGGAGGCCATACTTAACTCGCGGCCGATCATCGCAAGCAAGCTGACTTACTTGCAATTCTGGCCGCTGATCTGCGGCATCAAGCAGCGGTTTTGGGCCGATTGGTCCAAAGACTACCTGCTAAGCCTGCTGCAGCGCCAGAAGTTGGCAGTAGGTCAGCCCGATCTCGAGGTCGGCACGATGGTTCTCATCCACGAGGACAACCTGCCACCGTAGCAGTGGATGCTGGGAGTCGTCGAGGGTACGACTCGAGGAGCGGATGGAAGAGTGCGCGTGGTGACCATTCGATCTAAGACGGGTCAGTACACTCGATCAATCGTTTGGCCCCATTGCCAAAAATATAACTTGAAGCCCACATTGGCAAAAGGCAAGGTGGCATGAACGCAGGGACCTGAATTGGAACCCTGCTTCTTCAAAGCCAAATATTTAATCAAATCCGGCCAATATGGTACCACCCTCTTGGAGAGGGAAGAGAATTAGAGATATTTTCCATAGCCATGAATTTTGGATTGTGCACGCTTTTTTGCCTTGTTGGACACTGTGGGACTGTTGCCCCATTGCCGGTCCAACCTCGGAGTAGAGAAATTTAATTTCTTTAGAAAGCTGGTGGCCCTTAAACCAGATTTTGACTTCTGTGGATTCCTTCCTGTTTCTTTTAAGGATTCCTATTGGTATTTTCGACGACAGGAGATCACTAAATTGCACATTTGATACATACATAAATTTCTACCTTGTTCGTGACGTATTTTAGGCACAAGCCCGTGCTGTACCAGGACCTAAAGCGACGCCAGTTCGTAAGTACTTGGTGGAATTGATTTTGCATCTGCCATATCCCATTTTTACCAACTCGTCGAATCCTTAATTGCAGTTTCGTTAATTCAAACTGGTTAATGGCCTTTCTCGATCTGATACATTTACTATGTATCACCTTTGGCTCAACCACATACTGCGCAGATGCTCACACACATACACTTATAGATAAAATTCCGATGTAAATGTGGAAACATAATAATACCCAAGGTGGTATAGTCGATGAATAAATTTTTTTTTTTCAATATTCTTAATTGGCTTACATTTTGGTAATTATTGTTGTTAGGCCCGCTAGAGTTTTGCATTCCTTTCCTGTTATTGTTGAAACTTGGCACAGAGGTCACAAATAAAATATCGATACGGAGCAGATCAATGTGTCATAAATCTGTCATAGAAACGCTATGGCTTAGAGATACCTTAAGTATCAAAAACTTATTTATTTGTGGGTTTTTCATCATCTGGCAAATCCAAAAATATATAAGGAATTTATTTATTTATTATTATTTATTTATTTATTATAATATACTTATTCTTTTTGAAAAAATGTGTTTTCCGAAAACAAATTTAAATCATTCTCTACAACATCTCCAAAAACTACGTCGTAATTATGATCTAGCTGGCTTAAAGCTTCGCAAACATTTGATAACGGGACATTCGAATCTTCTATTTGTGCCAGTACTGTAGCTCGGGTTCGCGTATGTAAATAGGATGGCAATTCCCCGCTGGATGCACGGGAGTTGGATGTTGAGGAGACTGGTGCTTCATTCTCAACCAGCAGCTGACCATCCCTAACTAGGTAATTTGGATCCGATCTATTGTAATTAGAATAAAGTTCTCGCAAAGTTGTACGAGTTAGATTGAACTCGCGCATTCCAAATCTTTTGTTTTCGCTATCGGCTGCATCTCGGCGTGCTGCTTTCCGTTCATCATGTCTTTGCTGCTCTTCCGACGTACGCTGTATGCCCGGATCGGGGCGCGATGAGGATGACCAACTACTGGAGGCAGATTTGCGGGAACGTTTTATAATTTGTCGGCACTTGTTGGTTATACCTCCTACAATTTCAGATAATAGGGCAATTGCTCCAAGTAAATATCCGATTCCCATAAGCAGAAACATGCCTTCCGTGTCGGCTGTAGTCAACTGTCTCTCTTCCTGTATTATCTCGCGCAAAGCGCTTGATGAGCTTGCCTGCAGCAAACGGCCCGTCGCCGATCGCTGCATGGCCCAGCTGACCTCGTTACTGATCTTCGTCATAAGACCGCTCTGCTGTGCTAGTAAAATCATTGAGTCGATCTTACGCTTATATACAGCTTCACGTGGGAAGAGGTACCCAATTTGAAAAAGTGCAAAGCATTCTTCGCTGAGATGTAGCGCTGACCGTCGAGAAATGTTTCTAAAGTAGAACGATTCTATAGGCAATCCGAATTTTCCATCAGCTTAATTATCGGTATACTTACTCGTCCGAAAAGTTGGACTGAACCAAGTACTCAAGCTGTGCCTTCGATCCCAAAAAGGCATAGTTCCAGAAAAAGCTTTGCGTAACATTTCCAATTCCCTCCTCCAAAGTGCCGACAAACTCCATTTTTTTGAATAGCTTTGAAGTGGGTATGTGTGTAGAATTTTGGAACCAAGTTTCCCAACCACCATTATCTAAATTGGTTCCAGTATTTAGGTATTCGGGTCAGCAATGATGCCCATTACTTACCTAGCGTGCCAACTCGGAAGAACAAGCCTAGCAGATCAAGTACAGAATCAATGGTATCTGGAAATGCTGGCAGTGTAACAAACGCTATGATTGATCCTGTGTAGCACGCTGTGATTATAATTGTAAAGAGCCAATAAGCGCCAATTAGCAGACGTGTTGAGTTTTTTTGGGTATTACTCCAGGAATACCTGCCCGTGAATGTGAAGGCGTTTGTAAACATGCCAAAGACATACCAGCACGTGTTCTCAATCTCTCCCCAGTTGCCAAGTAGGTGGCGGAGAGTCAAACGATCCGTAAATACAATAGGGAAAATTCCGCCCAAATAAACACAAATTAGAGCAACCCAAACGGGCCACTGAAACGGTCCCATTATAGCGCGATATTTTGGGAGTGCCTTAGAAGCCAACGTTATAAATGCAGCGCAGTCGCGAGAATGTCCCACTGACATATCTGTATCACGCAGTCGCTCCTCGGTAATGTAAATGCCTGACATTCCAATATCAACCGTTCTGCGCAAAATTTGATTCTGAATATTGTCGGTAACACTACGCGAGTAGGCACCCATTGGTGTCTCAGTTATATCAACCGAGAAATTTAGCCGCTTTGATATAATATTTAGCAAACGAAATTCTAGACCATCCCAACGAAGTTGACCCATGCCGCTTGAGTCGAGGGTTCGTATACGAAACATAAAAGGGGGTTGGTTGGCAGCGGAGACTTGAAAGCGATGACCAGCAAATCCATCTACAAACTTTGGTGGGAAAAGATTAATGTGTGGTCGCGATAACGCACCCTTTATCCAGCTGGTCAAGACCACGGGCGTATTCGATCCGAGACCGTCGGTATAAAGTTTATGTGTGTACAATACATAAGGACGCTCCTAAAATATGTAAGAAAGAATGATTCAAACAATTTGTAGTAACTAGAGTCCTACTGAACTCACTCGTAGCGGATCAGAAATGAGTGACTCCCCAATAACCAACAGATTAACAATGTTCGACGACATTTCAGAGGACAAAAAATCACGAAGTTTCCACTGTGTAGATCGTGACACAAGCACCACTCGACTTTCTGTTTGGGGGCCCAAAATCGTTCGCGTCATCAATGGATCAGAGAGGAATAGAATATAACTCTTGCAGTGGACGTCAATGCGGCTGGTGAATTTTTTATTTTTAGCTTCATAGCGCGAATTGATTTCGCCATGATAAAACGTAACAGGAATAGTCTAAGAACAAGTTTACTTTTCTTGTTAATCTTGTTAATTACGTGTATTTCAATAAGCTTACCTTAAAAAGGTTTTCTAATATTAAGCTATCTGATTTTTCGACGAAACTATCATAGTATATTACGGGAGGACACTTCCTCAAGTACTCCTCAGCTATCTTGTTAACCAAAGCCACGAGGGAGTTTGTCTGGTCAAAGTTGTATGCATTTATATGGAATTTGCTGACCAATAACTCAGCCCGCGGTTTTGGATTTCCGTAAAATGTCGTATCAATGCGACGTTTATATCGACTTTCATTAAAAGCACCATGATGCTGCTTGATAATTGGTTGACTAAAGCATTTGTTAGTGAAGTTGTCCTTCACAATTCTGCTCTCGCCTAATTCATAATATCCATTTATGCCAGCACACTGGTTAATGAACAATATTTGCACCAATAGGAGCTTCCACATGTTTACGATGATGGCGCCGACTTTCGAATACACACATATTTTCATTTTGGGCCAACTTATATACTGCTGTGTTATTGGTGCTTTGCACGCTACGGGTCGTCACCTCTTCAAATTAAAAATATTGATAAGAAAGTCTATTGCGCTTTGCAGTTAGGTTGTTATTATAAACACCTGGCGCATTGAACGAGCCAATCAAATTATTAGGAAATTAAATTGAACAATTTGTTATTACGTTTTCGTGAAGTACAAAAGAAAAGGTCTAAAAAGGTTTCTTTTGCAGCTATATGAATATTTGTACGGTCCTTTCCGAAAAACTGTTATACAAGTATCGTACAAGTATACTAAGTAGTTGAAGTGGCAAACGTTGTTCTGCCATATAAATATTTCTAGTGAATATTTTGGTTGTTAAATAAAAACAATTGGAGAAGCTATAGTCGGGTGTCCCGACTTTGAAATGCTCTGTACATATGTGTAGAATAATTATAAATTAAAAAACAAGAAAATTTAAAGGTTTCAAAATTGTAATATTACAAAAAAAAATGTGGATCGATTATACCTCGATTGCACAGAGCAATGTAGTTTTCAGCTGATGGTACTTACAACAAGCAATTGTGTGTGAGTGTAAAGGACAATTTAAGGGACAATTTTGTGAGCAACAACAACAACAACAGCAGCGGCAGATCTTGGGCAAATAATACATTTATGGTTATAGCTTCCTTTCAAATTGGCCTATCTTGATGAGAGTTGGAATACTAATGATAACTGCGTTCAAAAGTCCAAGAATTACGAAAGTTATGAAAAATCTCTAATAGCGGAGTGGAAAAAAACTTGATCTGCCTAGGGCTCAGGGCTACCAAGTTTGTTAATTCTAGCCCTTGCACCTTCTGTGATCCTTCCGTTGATACAGACGAGTTAACGGACAGACTGGGCTAGATCAAATCGTCTTGTCATACTGATCAAGAATATACTTTTAGGGGTCTGCCACGCCTTCTGTGTGTTACATACATTCGCACATGGTATAACATATGACACGTACATTGAATCGTACATCAATATTATGTCTATGAGTGTTATGACTATAACTTTCTTCCATCCATTGGATGTATGATGATAAAACTTAACACGAGGATACATAAGCACTAACGGGATGTAAAAGCCGAATTTGATTTAAATTACGAAAGTTATGAAAAATCATTAATAGCGGGGTAGTAGTTAGTTAGACTGGAACAGTAGAGTTTTCTTATCGGGCGTGTTAACATGTTGTAAAAATGTTTAACAGCTATGTATTTGAAACCCAACAGTGCTTTATTTAAAGTTTGTATCCAAAAATATTTTGTATTTTTCCCACTTGAGGCACGGTTTTTCCGAATACGACTTTTGTTCTGTACTTATTCTTTACTTCATGCCAATCCCAGTAGGCCCAATACTGAAAGAATTTAATATTAATTTAGTACATACAAATTTATTACATACATGTTATAAATTGCTTTTTTACAATCAGCACAAAATACTTAATTCACTCGTTTTAGATTTTATTTTGTATTTTACAAAAATTGTATATTTAAACAAAGGTATTTTCACGTTCTAAACCATTTAAATACTTTCTCATATACACGTATATTTGTAGTCTCACCTATTAACTAACTATAAATCTATGCATGCACGTTAATCAAATTCCTCAATATGTATGAAGAACGGCAAAGTATTGGCAATCGTTTCGTTTCGTTTCGCTTCTTCATTTTCTCATCGAGTGACTTGTTTTAGGTAGGAGCCTAATCGATGTATTTTTTCGTTTAGTTGCGATTATAACTAGAGTATTCGTTGAAAAATAAAATGTTTCGAGTTACTGATTCAATTTAATTGTAAAATTATTATTTTTATTTTATTAGTGATTGTGCAAATGTTACATATTCAATCGTTGATCATGTGAAAACTATATGGTTTGATATATTTGTATAAGGCCTTAAAAAATATTGTTGAAAACACTACTAAATCTAGGGACTTTCTATTAACGCCACTACAAAGTCACATTTAGATCCACTAGCACTTTTTCATTGCATGATTACAAAATTATTTTCAAAAGAACTGTGCATATCGATAATTTAGAAACTAATGCAATTTGAAACAAAAGAGAATGTACAGTCGGGCAAGCCCGACAGTGAAATACCCTTCACCGCCACTATGTTATATGCGCGCATTACAGAAGCAAAAATAAGAAAAGCGAACCCGGGGCTGCAGTTTGTGCGTACTAGAATGTTGCGGCGGAAGGAAGGAAATCAACAAATTAGTAAAATAAACTCGAGTTGCCTAGGGAAATGGAGAATCTACAGACTCAGATTGGTTAGTATAAGCTTAGGCGTTTCCGAAATCCAGGCGTGCACCCAGACAGACTGACGGACGGGCAGATGGACATGTCTAGACAGACAAATCGATCTATATGGTGATTACGAATATATGTATACACTATGTGTATAGTAAATTTTATGCGGTGCTTCTTTGACATACATCGCACAAACCTAATACTTATACTCGTAAAAATTTCACTGAGTAAGGGATCTGACGTTCGTTTCTACATTTTATTCGGTTGAGTATAAAAACACGATGGGTGTTATCATTTTCAAATAAAATATTTTATGTATCTAACTAAATGCGTATACCGTGTTTTTATAAGTATTATGTATTTATATACATCACATTCAAAGGATCAGAAGATAGACTTGAGCGAGATGTATATGCATGTATACAGGAAGTAATAACTACATAACTACGTTGCTGCACAAATTACTCGAGCTTTCAGCTCCTGAATGGTAGAAAAATATAGATATCTCAATGTAAAATAAATATATGTGAAAAGTGTAAAGGCACCCACAACAGTTATGTGAGAACCAAAGGAAATTCGGCCGTAAGCTGATATCTTTAAAAATTCAGATGCATATAATCTAATTATTTATCACAAATTAATTTTAAATTTCTCTTAACCCTAATACTAAGTGACGTGCTGAGCGTTTGTCATAAGGGCAGATTGTAAGTGGATAATTACCCGGTACTTGCTCTCAGACAAGAACAGCTTTAGGAAATACCTACATTATGCTTATTATTATTATGAAATTTTGATGTTCCTATGCGCGACTGCAGCATGGTTTAATGCATGTAGTGTATTGGTGTATTATGAAATTTTCTAATATGTGCAATTTGCTGCGTTTAGGAATGTACAAGTATACAAGTATGTATGTGTATGGGAATAAATAATTCTCACATTATCTATAAGAATTAACTAAAATATGTATATGTATGTGTATGTGAATAAACGAGTGAATACCGCATTTTGGGCTTTCAATGACGACAATTACACATTTGGAAAGGGCGTTAAATGGTTTCGATTATCGTGATTTGCATTACATTTAGCAATAAGTAGCTCAGGCTCGTATTCGGAACATTTACGCCGCCGATTCTTCAACTTCTGCGGTGTCAATGCGCGAAGAACGAATACCCGTCTTTCCAGTCCAGGGGTAGATATCAGGACACGGCTGACATGTTTTCATATACCGCACACCAGATTTGTGCCAAAGGTTACAGACTTTTGGATTATTACACCGTCTGGGCCGATCCTAGATAATAATAAATTGTTTTTTGTTACAACAAGATTGACGGCATTTTTGTATTTGTCCTTTGCGTACCGAATAATCGCATTGAAATGGTTGGAAGGAGTTAATGCGGGATATCGGCGTTGGATCGCGCACCCATTGTAAAGCCTGCCAATTAGTAATAATCCAAACGTCTGGCATGGCGTTTATGGCATCAAGGAACTTGATGAAACCTTCTTTATGATGTGGTTGGGTAAACCAGGCTGCGTGATAAAATAGGCCAAATGGTGCTCTGTGGAGGAAGCGGTCAAAATTAAATAACTCGTCGTGCTACGTGCTCTGTCGTAAGGTGGCTCACCTATTAGTCGTATAATGGCGTTCGAAATTCTTCATTATCATCTTTGTCACATCCTCTGCATCACTAGGATTCGAGCATGCGTCCCCCATTGAACATCGTCCGCCCTTTAAGTCGACCCACATAACCATCGGTACTTGCCAAACCCCGGGATAGCTACGAGTGGGACACGGTGGTATCATGCAGTCGTGAAAGATCTTATAGTCCAGGGTGTATGGCCATGATGGCGGACGGTTTTCATATACTGGCATCGAGGAATCGTAGGTAAAGTTGGAATCGTACAACATTTTGTACATTTTATTCCCCCCTACGGAGAGGAAAGGTGCTCGCATTCCCCTCACATCCGAAAGCTTTACGCCACCATACGCCGCGAGAATCTCCCGCTGGCCTGCTACTTCGCGTGTCCATTTCTTTTGGGAAAATTGCTCGCCAAAACTATGACTGCAAGTCGAAGAAAACTTGGTTTCAGCGCACACTTTAACAAGCAACATTTTATACAAAATTGAAATAAACGAAAACGGAAACAAAGTGCCGATACACCTTTTCGATATTTTGTTGTGCAATGGTAGCTTTTTAGGGTGTTATATGATAAACTAGCAGATATTGCCCGTCTTAACCCGGCTCAATATAATGTTTCCAATTGTATAGTATTTATTTTGTGTGTGCATAACCTACCCATATGTTTTCACCTTATAAGTTACCAGTAGGAAGGCATTTAAGGTATTTAAATGAACATTTTCTGTTCTTGACAAAAAATTTTTCAGTAGTCCGTTACATTTTTGTTCTTGCCAAACTATTTCGTTCAACGAACATGACCACTATAACTAATATTTTTTAAAGCTCGTTTTCCCCCCGTTGGAGCTAGAATTTTCCAAAAGCCTTTCTTAGTGTGCTCCTACACTATGATGGATACTATGAAAAGATACTTGAGTCCAAATTTCATCTTTTACCGTTTGGGCTGTGCGTTGATCACCAATTAGTCAGGACAAACTGTTTTATATATAGAGATAACGCAACGTTTTAAGATAGACGATTTGCAAAAAAGGGGGAATAATTATAAGGGTATATCCTAATTCTAAATTCACATTTGAGTCTTTTCGTGCCATATTGAGTCAATACGGTCACGCACAAACTCGGAATATGAAACACGGCACTCGTGTCAGTGCCGTGCAGCGATGAGCCACGATCAAAAAGCACTGACAATTCTCATCTCAATTTGCTAGAGTAAAACTTTCGATAGTTGAAGCCACCGATATCATCAAAATATCGAAGTTCGAATGCAATAAGCAGAATATTTAAATAATAAAATCTAATTATTTATTGAGATCAATAAGAACAAATCATATACATACATACATCTGCCCGCAATGCGAAGCAGAATATGCGTAGCTCCGTTATTCGGTTTCTGCTTTACTATCGCTTACGCAGTCGTTGCTTAGCGACGGTAACTGTAAACTTTTGGCGTTTTGCCTTTGCAATTAACATTAAATGGTCAAAACGAAAGAAGATGTGCGAGCCAACAACTTAAAGTTGTTGTTGTTGTTTTGTATGTACATGCTACATACATATACAGGCATACATGCATATGCATGTACATATGTATGTATGCATGGGCACACATAGACACGAACTGTTGCTTGTTGTATGTATGTGTGAGTGTGTGTATGTGATGTCCCCAACTATTTGATATTTGATATATGGCAAGTAAAAAACATATCGTTGAATGCCAATTTGTTGATATAATGTTGATTACATTACCCAAATTTGAAATCGATCGGACAAAATTTATAACACAAACTATTCATTTGAAAAAGTGAATAAATAATAAAACCCCAATAATAAAATTAAATGCGATATATCGAAAATATCGATACTTGTGTTGATATATCGTAATACATGTCGAATACAAATACATCGAAAAACATCGTTTGAGAGTTATTGATTATAATACTGTATTCGATTGTTCACTGTACACATATGTACATACATACATACAAATGTATTTGTATGTGTACGGTAACTGTAAACTTTTGGCATTTTTCGTATGCAATTAACAGCCGTAAATTATCAAAACGAAAGAAGTTTTGCGAGCCAATAACTTGTTGTTGTTGTTTTAAAAATTTTGATTTGAAAACATAGAACACTATTTATTACAATTAAACAACAGTGTTCGATGGCCCACTGCATACATACAAACCTATATATGTATATAAGAATGTATGTACATACGTACATACATACTTATTGATGTACATATGTACATACTATACATACAGACGTATGTACATATGTATGTACGTATGTAATACATATGGTGCTGGTGTAATTCATAATGCGAAATTCTTTTTAAGGGGAGCAATGTCCCCCCTGCCCAACCTGCGTACGCCCTTGTAGTCCGTTGTCCTAAAATCCCTTATGCCAAATGTACTAAACAAAGAAAAATAACAAAAATGTTTATGTTATAATGTTAATAATTTTTAATTAATTAACATTTCTTGCCCTGTCAGTGCAAGACGAATGTACTTTTATACATATGTATGTATGTATGTACATACATACACATACATTTGTACAAATGAACATTCACACATTAGTGTCTCACATTTTGCTTTGGCTACTTCAACCGTTTGCACTACACGAACAGCTGCTTGTGTGTATGTATGTGTGTGTGTATGTATACTTAGTTGTCCCCAACTGTTTGATATTTTGTATTGTTTGTTCTGCCTGCATTTGTAAAATGCATATTTTAAAAATCGTTAAATGTAAAGTTGTAATTTTAGTTACGTAGATTATATTACCCAAATTTGAAATCGATCGGACAAAATTTATAACACAAACTTTTCATTTGAAAAAATGAATAAATATTAAAACCCCAATAATTCAAACTCCAACACAAATTTCGAAAAACCGAGTATGCAGTTTTGTTTGTATTCTTTTATAGATTATAAAAACCAAATTTAAAGTTGATCGATTCAGAAATGCAGAATTTTCAAACAAATTTTGGAGCTACTTTTCCCCCCTTTGTAGCTCGAATTTTCCAAAATCCCTTCTTAGTGCGCATCTACACCATGATAGGATACTTGAGCCCAAATTTCAGTTTCCTAGCTTTTACCGTTTGGGCTGTGGGGTGTTGATTGTGTTTCAATTTTTCCACGGAAAACCCCCTCTTTTTCATGCCCCAGGAAAAATGGTGAAAAACAAAGTATACAGTTTTTCTTGTATTCTTTTTGAGAGTATACAAACTAAGTTTGAAGTTAATTGGATGAAAATTGTAGATTTTTCATACAAACGTTGGAGCCCGTTTTCCCCCCTTTGGCGTTCGAATTTTCCAAAACCGCTTCTTAGTGCTCACCTACACCACTGAAGACAACATGTGTCCAATTTTCAGCCTCCTAGCTCTAACCGTTTGGGCTGTGCGTTGATTGCACATAGCTTTGCGTTTACCGAATTTTCCACCGGAAAATCATTATTATTCAGGCCGCAGGAAAAATATTGAAAATCCAAGTATACAGTTTTTTTTGTATTTTTTGTGAGAGTATACAAACTAAGTTTGAAGTTAATCGGATAAAAATTTTAGATTTTTCATACAAACGTTGGAGCTCGTTTTCCCCCCTTTGGCGTTCGAATTTTCCGAAACCCCTTCTTAGTGCTCACTTTCACTATAAGAGGGATCTTGTGTCCAAATTTCAGCTTTCTAGCTCTTACCGTTTGGGCTGTGCGTTGATTGCCAATCAGTCAGTCAGTCAGTCAGTCAGTCAGTCAGGACAAACTGTTTTATATATATAGATATAATTGTGTCATAACAAACTAATTAAAAAAAAAAGAATTACAAGGACTAATAGAGCAAAAACGTTTTAAAACAATTAGTAAATCTCAACTTCCCACGGTGAGGTAAAGAAGGTAATCGAAACAATAAAGAAACGACTCAAAAATAATTAACTTGCTTAATGAAAGTGTAATAGGTAGTCCTTCGGCAATCAAAAACTATGGAACTTCAAGGGGGGCATTTTATAAAGTCCGAACCTTTTAACACTGGAAAAAGCTCTTGTTCCACAAAATGCGCCGATCATTGTTTCCGTTTTCATTTTTACATTTTGTACATATGTACATATTACATACGAGTATGTATATATATATACACGTGTACACAATGTATGTTTTTCATTTCGATGCAAAATGTTTTTATGTGGATATCTGAATGGCTTGAATTGGATATTTGTGAAAATTCCCGATTGTGAACATAAGTACTGGAAATGTGGAAGTGCATTCAGTATTAATTAAAGCAAAGAGTTTGTTAAGTGGGTTCGTGTTGTGGCTTTTGGATGTGTATCAACATTTTCCGGATTGTTGAACCGTTGGTGTACGTGTATATAAGCTGTCTCTGTGGCGCCGTTGTAGATTACTTACGAAACTGTGTGGGAGGCCATTTCGTGTCCGTCGGCATACAGATTTTGCACCTGACTGTAATCAGTCCATTCATGGGATACGTAAAATGTGGCTGTAATTGGGCAGCCGTTGGGGTTTACACGACCTTTTTCGAATAAATCCGTGTACAATTGCTTGTTCAAGTCATTTACAGAATCATCGAAGGTCAAAAGGACAATTTGTGGTACATTTTCCGCTGGAAGCTCGCCTAGCATTTATAATGATAATGTAGATGGCGGAGTCGGCGAAACAAAGAAAAAACAGAGCATATGATATGAATAAAAATGCATGTTAAAGGTATAGGCAGAGAGATAGAATAATGTAATTTCCATATGTAGTAGTGGATGCCGTCTTTCTCCATATTGATTGTGAAAACGCGAGCGTTAAACGCAACTTACGAGACAGTGTGGGAGGCTATTTCATGGCCATCCGAATATAGATCCTGCACCAAGTTATATTCAGTCCACTCGTGCGATAGATATAAAGTGGCACGCCAAGGACAACCATTGGGGTTCTTGCGTGTCTTGTTATCGAATAGCTCCTTGTAAAGTTCAATATTAATCGTATTGACGGCATCATCAAAGGTAATCAATACAATTTGTGGCGTACTTGTTACATTTAAACCTCCTAAGTTTTATTGGGTAGTGTATTGGTTATAAAGATTTGAAGATACTTTGCGCTGGCCAATTGATAGTGTGCATTTATTGTGACTTTTACTTACCAGGTATATCCTTGCCACCGCAATAGCAGTCCGGCAGTAAGCACACATCTTTGCGACATTTGGCAGCTGTCTTATCGGGGGTTGGCTGGGGATAGAGAGGTTCCGGACGTAATGGTGGATATCTGTATATATCGACAAATTCTTGAGCCTTCGAAACAATTGTACCAGACGGCTTGAGTGTGGGTCGTGTACGGCTGTGGATAATATTTTCGGTACCGGATCGATCTATTAACTTGGTTACTCTTTATTACTCACGGTGGATGTGTGCCTCTGTTGGCAGTGGGCACAATATCGCGCTCCTGGTTCGCATATAAGGCACTGCCCCGGTTTCTATTGTTGTTTCTAAATTTGTTTGTGGAAAAATGTGTTTACTTGCGATTAATTTAGTCTTAAATGTGTGTATTTTAATCGTATTCACTTTGTTGTGTCGAATTTGGGATAAATACTCGATTGTTTGTACAAAAATTATAATATTATTTTTACCAAATAACTACTTTGTGCCAAAACGATGCTAACAAATCTATTATGAAAACGGAAAGTTAATGGATAAGCGGTACATATTTTCATTCTTAATTCGTAACCCCAAATATACATATGTATGTACATACTTGCATAAAATAAAATTAATTAATAATACCATATAAGCTATGCATGATTAGTCCAAAACCAATTTATTCAATGTACAGTGAATATGCCCTTTTGTTATTTATAAAAGTCAAATCAAAAGCCAATTGTATTAAACAGCTAAGAAGTATTTGGGAAATTGTATACTTATGTGTCAGTGTTGCAGGGGGTTGGGAGTCTATTTTAATCATGTTTAGGAAGAGAATGATAGTAATATCATTATAGTTCGCTGTAAGGAAATATTATTATGGTTCTATATGGGTCTTCCTCGTAATAGACGCGATCAATTATTATACGTTATACATTGATATTCATATTGTTTTCTTCCAGATTTTGTTCACGTACGAGTGTGACTAGGCAGAGGCTTTAAGCCAATTGCACAGGCTAACTGAAGACTTTTGTTATATATAGTAGATAGGTGCAAACAGAGTTCCTCTCTTAATACCTACCAATTTTTGAGCTCAGTAAAATGTGCATTTCATGAATGATATTTTGCACGAACTAGAGTGTTAACTGTATAGTATAGTACGTATTAAATGTACATATACGAGTAGTACGAGTATGTACACATATGATGAGCTATTAATGAGAGATTATCCGCATTTAATTCATAATCTTCGATCGTGCATACAAAGCAATATAAAGTGCGCTTCGCGTAACAATGCATTTTCTTTACTTTGAAATTTTTAGATATGACAAAGTTTGGATATTTCAAGGCAAATAAAATTGAATGGTTTCATACAAAATAAAAGTTTAATATTAAAATCAAAAATACTTATATGTGTGTGTACGAGTATATTGGCAAACCAAAAATAATTTCTATTCAAAGTTAAACTCGCCACCATCTACATAGTAAACGGGTGAATACAGTATTTCACATATGTATGTGTACGTACACCGTAAGGATATGTGGCACCTTGTTGCAACATTTTACAGAGCACCTAAAATTAGTATGTATAGTATAGTATAGCATGTTTGCACAAGGAAAATAAAAAAATAAACTTAACACAAGGACTAGTATGGTACTATGTGTACTAAGTGAGCATTACTGTGGATAGAAGTTTTATTTTGCACTCGAACTTGTTGCTTTACTTAAGCAAGTACGAGTACTTATATGCCGTACAGTACATACTGGGAAACCAACAGATCTAAAAGGGTGAGTGTGAATTATGAAAAACGAAAGCTTAACATCAATTATAATGGTTGGTTGATTTGGTTTGTTTTCATTTTATTGTTTAGGAGGCTGTGTTGGAAATAAAATTACGGTGAAATATATAGAAAGAAAAATAGTGGTGATGCAGTGGTAACAGCAGCAGAAGAGCGTTTAAAACAACTAGGTATTTATACCTCGAGGGGATTTCGTTGCATTTGGTGCTGGGCGTACTGTCGGAGCACTTGCCCGAGATGGAGGCGGCGGCGATGATGACACCCGCTTTGTCGTGGTCTTGGTGCTGGTTGTTGCTATTGTATGGGCTGAGGCCATTTTGGAATTTATTAGGATTGCCCATCAGCGTTTGGGACTGATAATTAGAAATATGGGCGGAGCTAGGGCCATTGGATTGTTGGGCAACAGCGGCAATCGACGTTTTGATGGCATTGTTTACTCTTGAAGCTCGCGTGGGTAACAAAGTGTACGCAGTAGGTGTGGCGCTGATACTGCTAGTTGAGTTGGCAGAGATTCTAGCGGTACTACCTTGGGGTGAGAACTTTGTGGGGATTGTGGTACTGGATATTGTATTTGTATTGGGATTTATAATTGGTAAACTTAAAGTGGAGGAGTAAGCGAAAGGTTTGGATATGTTGGATACGTGTTTAATAGGTACATTAGACACGCTAGTTGTGGCACTTATTGATGCTTGCGTGGTTGTATGTGGCTTCGTAACTTTACTCTTTTTATGAGGGTCGAACAGCTGCTTGATCTCTTCAACAGCGGCTTTAATTTCCGGAACGGAAAAATTATTAACAAATTGCGGCGAATCACTTTCGTCACTGCTGCTATCGCCGGATAAGAACTGTTGTAGCTGCTCAAGCACATTAGCGGTTTGAAACTTCTGTGATCGGCCGTTGCCCTTGGTTAGGTATCCTGCATTCTGTAAGCTCTCGGCTAGGGTTCGCTCTACTGTTTGCTGCCGGTATTTATTTGAATAAAGGTACTTAATTGGCGGGCGTTCTGTGCTGGCTACCACAGGTTCAGTGAAAGTAGATTCTTCAAAAATCACTCCTTTCACAGCAGGGCCCTCTTCTACACTGTTGTGTTGCTTTGTGTCAAACGTTTGAGGAGCTATTAGGGCTTCGGAGTGCGGCTTATCAGGAACTGTGGCTTCATTTTCAATTGGTTTACGATTTATAGACTTTGGCACAACTATCGTTGCAGGCACTGAAGTGCCAAAGGTATTGGACGAATTTGTAATTTTTGATGCTGATTTATATGCCAAGGACCCCTGAGTTAGAGCCTTCTTTTGATTTTGTGCAGCCGATACACGAACACGCTTTCGTCTAGGATATAAGCTCGGTGGGGCACCAGTTGACACATACCGATTTGGTAGTTTGAATTTTGGTGCAAAAGTAGTTGGCTCCTCAAAACCATCTAGTAGGTTGTTTAGGGTGGCTGCAGTGTATCGTGAGCGGCCTCGGGATTGAAAAGGTGTCTGAGATATGATCATGGGCAACGTGGCTACCACAGTAGACATTATTTGTGGCGTCTCCGTTGTGCTGGTAGTCGTGGGGATTGTAGATGTCGTTCGAAACATATTTGGCGAGGTAACGGGGCGCTGTGGACTAAATGTACTGAGGATGGCATCGCTAACGCTAAAGTTTCGCGGATTACTCGTCGACATTGTAGCTAAAAGGGATTGGCTTGTGTTTTTCGTTGGAATGGCAACTGGGAAATAGTTTTTAAAGGGCTTAGCAGTAGTCTGAAGAAGTAGTGGAACCGCTGGTCCACCCAACATTCGCGATTTGGCTGTAGTGCGAGGAATGTTATGTGACTGGCGTTCCTCTTGCAGCAAATTTTCAAGACTCTTATAAGGCGAAACGAAATGTATTCCTGGATTGGCGGTCACACGGCTCAGATTGTCCTTGAAAAGAGTTGCGCGTGCAGTAAAGCTTTGTATGGGATCCACGTGTTCCTTGGCTTCAGGGAACGAAGATTTAGTCGTACTTGTACGTATTTGGTTTTGCTGATCATTTGTTTTTTTTAATAGCTGTTGTATCGTTGGACGACCATTGCGCCAAATGCGCAAGGGGGGCGCAAATGTTGTTGGCAAAATGTCCAAAAACCCCTCATTGTCTATGTAAGCAGAACCTAGGTGTGGTTTTGTGGTTTTTGTACTGGCGCCAGTTGTTCCTCGAAACTCTGTTGTCTTCGTTATCAAAGACTCTGTGCTAGCGCTAACCTCCAACGTATTTTCCCAATCCTTTGTACCCGGCTCAGCACGTAAGCTAAAGCCATGTGCTCCACTTTGTAAGCTATATTGGTAGGCTTTCTTGGGTCGAGTGGTACTGGAGCTATACAATAGCTCAACAGGAGGTAGAGCCAGAGTCGTAGTGCTTGGCGGTGCCTTAAAGCTTTGCGGTTCTAGTTCCGATAGGACAAAGCTTTGTATGCGCTTACGTTGCTGGTCTTCTTCATTTGAAGTGGGCCCGTTTTCCTTTTCATCGATATTGTGCCGATAGTGATTTTGTGGATCTAATGATGAGCTAAGTGCTTTCGTTTTCTCTGCAGGTGCGTGAATTAAATTCGCATGCGGACTTGTAGCATATGCGGCAGCATTAATGAAGTCTAAGAACTTGGGCGCAGTGCTTGTCTCAAATGAGCGACTATTAGGCTTTTCGGCCTCCGTTTGCACAGATACCTTTTTACTTTCATCATAAATGGTTTCTGTAGACTCCTCCTGACTATTTACTGACCTGTCCCCGTCGCCTACCAAAGATCTCTGTGTCGTTACGTTCACTGTAGGAGGTTGGTTTTGTACTTTTGCGTAGCTGGTAGTTGTGCTTTGAGCTACAACACTGACAAGGGAATTGACCAACATTTGGAGTTTTGGTTTTAGGAAGGGATTCGTGTTATATGTATGGGATAAGGCGGGAGTGGTTCTGATAATCGTAGTGGCTTGAGTGCTGGCTGTTTGCGGAGTAGTTGGTGTTGTGGTCTTTATTGTTGTTGTTGTTGTTGTTTTGAATTTGTTTTTTGTTTTAATTGCATGCGTACTTGAGCTGTTGAAGAAATACATACGTATTTTTATGTAATTAACAATAATGTTAGTATTAGTAACTATTCCATTGATTGTGTTTTTCTTGTACGGTTTTCAGCGACCTATGTCTCGCGTCTTTAAATATGTATTATTCGAGTTTATTGATATCAGTTTTTGGTAGGCCATTTAATAGAACATGCTCATGCATACTTCATGGTTTTCCGATTTCTCAAATACGGTTCAGATAACATTCATGCAATGTAATGAGCACAGCATTTAATATTACATACGAAGATCATTTACGACAAACTATATATATATATATATATATATATATATATACCTGAAGCCTACAATTTGTCAAAAGAAATTCGCAATTGTATTTCCTATCTAACGAAGTTAAATCAAATGCAGAACTACTCTCAACCTATGCTTGTATAGTGTATGTAGTGTGGAAGCCGAATTGGTAATTGTTTTCATGATGTAAGCGAATACTATATAGTGTTAGAATCGTGTGCGTCCGGTTGGTGTATACCCTGCTCTATGGTACAATAACAAATTTTGTAACAGTTACTTTATACACCGATCGTTCCTATGGCAGCAATGTATAATTTGTTTCACCCTTCGGGTACAGGGTATAACAATTATCACAATTAAGAATCTTACAACTAGACATTTAAAGCCAATTAAAGAGAAAATAGAATATGAAAGGGATGCAGTATACGAGTATATAGCCGAGTATGTTCGACTATGGGATGCCCTGTACCCAACTGAGGCAGTATTCATAATAAAATTTAAAAATATAAGCTACACTTCATAGTGAGCTAAGATAGCTTTTAAGCGGTGAAAACATGCATTAACTTTGAAATGTATGTATATCAGAGATGAATCAAAATATTGGCAGAATTAGAAAGAGCACTAGTCTACAATATTGGAATATTGGTTTGGATCAAGAAATGTACTCTCATTATACACCCCTATTTAGTATTGTTTTGTATTGTATCTGAATATAACACTTAATTTTTTTTTTTGGTTATAACCGAGGTGTCTCCATTATTTATAAATGAATCAGAATCTAATAAAATCAGCTTTGGCTTGATTCCAAATGTTATAAGTTTAAGCAGAATCTCTAATTGTTCCATTTTTTAAAACTCAAACTCTCTAGAATATGGTCTTTTTTGAATACTCTTTTGGTTACCGTATTCAGTACATCAATCCTAAATCTTTGGAAAATAAGTCTACTGAAGCCATTCACATCTATTAATAAAAATATAACTTCATTCGGATAACTGACTTTATATTTATGTATTAAAGTAAAATTATCTCCTCATAAAGTAGGTTCAGGGCATAAATTGAAATTATGTATTGAAACTTTTTGTGAAGGGTTAAGGCTCTAGATCCATTGGCAGATTTGTAAGTTTTAACTAATTTTCTAAAAAGAAGTGAATTCTGCTGAGCCAACGATTTATAATAACACAAATATGTGATTCTCTGAACCTGCAACTTAAACTTGCATTTACAGAATCAATATGCATACATAATATGGAATAATACTACTTTTATGTACTATTTTCCGCAGTGGGAATGTGTACTCTAGGATTGCTCTGCACTTTTATCGAATATCTGTCACATCGATTGGAATATTCAAAGCAGTTAGCAGAATGTTAAAGCGTACTTACTTAAAAAAAAGATAAGATCTGATTTGTTCAGCAGCAAGAGTATTTTTGTCAACAATCGAGTAGTTTGTTTTTTTTAAAAAGTTATTTTTTTGTATTTTTTTAATTCAAATAAAAATGCAGGTTAAAGTTGCAACTTCAAGGGAATCTTGGTTTTGTGGAACGGAAATGGAACTAGAGCTCATTGAAATGCCTTTGTTGGCTTGATTTTGTGATTATGTTGGATTTATACGAATCTTAACGCTTTAGTAATACCTTGGGGGCTTTGTTGTAGTGGTCGTTGTTGGCGGTTGTCTTCCTGTTTTTGTTGTTGTAATAGTCCTTGCTGTACTGTTGACGGTCAGTGTAGTAGGTTTAGCACTCTCTGCGCGTACTCGCGTGGCCAGTTTAGTTGGACTTAAGGTTATAGCAGAGGAAGGATTCGTTAGGTTCCTCTTGTTTAAGCTGATGTTACCCGAATCCGTGACTGCCAATACGGGCGAGGGACTGGTAAGAGCCTTGCGTTCTCCCTCATAGTAGTTTTCTGCCAAGCTGTCGGCATATTCTGCTGAGCTGGTGTAGCTGTAGTCGGCTTCATCCAAATTTCCAACGGTACTTTGTGTTGTCAGTGTATTATAGTAGTCGCGTATATCGTGTGCTGACATTGAACGTGGCGTGGAGGAGCGCGCGTCATACGAATCAAGCGTTTGAATGGTGACTTGTTCTGGTCTGATAGATAAATTGTTGCGTTGGGTGTATTGGGTGGATTTCAAGAGGTAGGGCCGCTTCTAGGTATTTGTGCTTTTCAACAGATTTAAAACGCTTCTAGAAACGGCCCTTTCTATCCGTACATATGTATATATATTTTAGTGGTATTCTCTGTGTGATTGCGCAAATTTTGATGTATGTGGGTACAAGTGTTTAATTTTGTTGTGTCTCGCTCATGGCCTGCTTACTAACAAACGCTAAAACGCTGTTCTTCTACAGAGACCTGGTATAAAATACTATTGGACACTGGCCAAGACGGTCACATAAATAAGTGGGTTAGATTTTGTTGGGGACAGGTTAGCTGAGGAAGCTTTGATCGATGATATTTGACAAATTGCTTACAAATTATAATTAGCTAGATCGTAACGTAATCGTCGGGCTACTTACCTCTGAGGCGTGCGTGTTGGCTGATCATAGGCATTATCTTGTTCGATCTGACCATGAGGAAAGGTATACGGATAAAGCGTTATATGTATTTACCATATGCTTAGCTCACCTGTGCTATTAGATCCTCATCATAGTCCGTATTGTAGCCCAAAGCTGGCCGACCGCTATAGGTAGGGTTCTCCGGCTTATAAGCATCGTGGTGAGTCTGCGGCTGTCGGTTTAGATGTGATGGTGCCGGCGTTGTTATGAGTTCCAATGGACGGTATGTAGATTGACGAATGGCTGTCTGATATGGCTGTTGTGACTGGGTTTGCTGTTGCTGCTGTTGTTGCTGCTGCTGCTGCTGTTGTTGCTGCTGTTGTTGTTGTTGTTGCTGTTGCTGCTGCTGATACTCAATGTCCCTATACAAATCGAGATCGTCGTCATAGACAGAGTAATATGATGTATCATAAGAACTTGATGCGGCGTGTGTCTGTTGTGCTTGTTGAAAAGGTGTTGGCTGCTGTAGCTGCGTCTGTTGTGATTGTTGGTAGCCACCCCCATTATTTAATGTTGATGCATTGTAATAGTTACGACTTGAAGCTAACTGTTCGCTTATAACCTTGGCGGGACGTTGTGGAATTGGTGGGGGTGATGCTTTTGACGTGGGCTGTACAAAGATGTTAGCAGGCGTTGGCGCCAATGATGATGACGGTGAAGGTGGCTCATTTCTGTACACGTTGTTGTTGGGTGGGTTAATAAATTTGCAAATATGCACAATATGGATACACATATACGAGTATAGAATATAATATATTTTCGTCCGCGAGCATTTGTACATTACAAGTTTATGATAAAGGTCGTTTATATACAAATGGGGAGGGGAGAAATGCAAAACGAGAAAAATAAAGTTATATAAATTAATAACAAATTAATGAGTTACATATAGTATATTAGTAGCTGGTTTCTAGTTTCTTCAAAATGAGGTGTTTCAGGTGTTACTATGGATATGAAAATGAAATTAATATTGAGTGCATCCCAGTACATTAGAAAGTAGTAGTCAACTGTGTAGGATTTATGAGTAAATTCAATTCAGTTAAATTCTTTCTGGTATAAAGTAGGGTCTAATTGTAAACGTATTGTATAATAAGTATGTATGTAGCGTCAGCACGCATATGGGTTGGTATATATACATATATTCAGTTATTTTTGTAGTGTCTGCTTAGTTTTGTGTTTATGTTGTGGCACAAAGTAGTTGGGCAGCGTTCAAAAGCGACAGCCTCTCTCATATCTACCTGTGTCTCTCCGCGTTCGGATTTACGTGAATCGAGTTCAATTGTAGTCCGCCCAAAGCAGCAGTGCCCGTTGTGGGCTTCGCATAGGCGGGCATAAAGTTAGTTTTATTCTTGGTATTAGCTTCCCCGTTATGATTTAGATTATCGCTTTGTATTTTCCATTTTTGATTGCCGCGTGTACGCTGAGGTCGCGCAGTGTAGCGAACTGTTGAAGCCTCCGTGGTGGTACCTCTTATTGAGCTTGCACTGTTTTGAGTTTGCTGGGTTGTTTGAGTGCTGGCGGTGCTTGTTTCCTGAAGCTGAGGAAGGCGATGTTGAAGCTCTTGAAATATGTCGGTGGGGAAGTTAATGAATGAAGGAACGCCAGCGCCTGCATTAGATGGATTTAACTGAGAGAAGTTTGGAAAGGGGCGCCGGGTTGTGGTGGCATCAATGTATCCCGTTTGAAAGTTAGGGTGCACGGCTCCGGGAATGCCTGTGGTTGGCGCTGATATTGGAAATTGAGGTCGTGGGGGTGCCATTGTCTCAGACATGGGCATATATGGAGGCATTTGAGAAGGTGGCATTATATCAACGTTATCTTCATCATAGTCCTCGTCCTCGTAGTAATCTACATTTTTTATTGTTGTGGTCCTCAGTTTGGGGCGTGGCGTCATCTCTGTTGCTTTCGCTTTGCTGGATTTCCCACCTTGTATATTCTTAATGAAGCTTTCGTAGCCCTTAGGTGCGGGTGTCGTTGTGGGTTGTTCAGTTGCTGATGGTTTGGTTCTGTCACCCGGTCTAGGAGTTGTAATGGGCCTTAGCTGAGAACGTTCACTGGTTATACTGCTGACTGGCCGTCGAAGAACTAACGCGTTGCGGATATTCCCATTACCGTCAGTGTTCTGCTTAAAATACTTGGCTATGTTGCTAGCCTTAAGGTTTGACATAAACTCAGTAATATTGAATTGAAAGCGGTTCCATTTCGGCTGAGTTGTCGCTTGTAGCTGTGGTGCGCTGGTCGTGCTGATAGATTTGGTAAAAGTCTGATAAGATTCAGGCATAGTTACATTGCTTGCGTAGCTTACGCCCACTGGCATGTGTGAAATGTCTCGGTAAGGTGCTTGGTTTATCAAGATGGGTTTACCGTACGCTAAATTTGGCGCCGCAACAACATCAATGTTGGGTGTCACTTCCAAAGGTGTTACTGGCGGCCGAACTTTTTCCGCGTGCTCAGGCCGATGTGGCTTGATTGTGCTGTATACGCCCTTCATCTTTTGATTAGCTATGATGTTGTACTGAAAATAATTGCTTTCCGTCGTGCTCTCGAATCCTGCTGCCCCAATGCTGTACTGAGAAACCAGTTTATTTGGATAGGTTGGTGTATAAGCACTCTGTTTCGGATTATTATTATAAAAGCCACCTATAGTGCTATACTGTGCATGATAACCGTTCGCTGTTTCTTGTTGTACTGGCTTTGTCGGCGGATTATATTCAATGGGAGTCTGTGCCGTTGTGCTAGGTATCCCAACCGGAGTCGGTGCTACAGGCTGATTGTCTAAATGAAAGTATGAGAAGTTTTCTGATTGTAGTTGCTTTCGTCGTTCCTTTAGCTGCTTCAGCTGTTCAATAAGGTACGGCAGCAAGTCGCCGGCCCCTCCTGAATGCTGCCGATATACCGAGTTGGGTTGAGGGCTGGGTAGTGTGCCATAATAGTTCCCCGCAATGGGCCGAAAGTCATCATCCTGGGGAGGAGGTGGTAGAGACAGGTTATAGCCTGTGTAAACGGACTTGGGCTTTTGCTGGTTGGGCCCTGCCCGTGGCAGTTGGGGCTGCTGGTATGCCTGGTACTGTGGATTGAGTTGGTTGTAGTTGTGGTTGCTATGCGCTGGTTGGCTTGGCGGCGTGAGATAGGGATTAAAGCTGCCGAAGCTGTACCCAGATTGCTGCGGTTTGTACTGGAAGGCTGGCGGGTCTATGGAGCGATAGTTATGTGTGTTCCACTTCGCGGGGGAATGAGAAATCGGTCGAAGTTGACGAGGCTGGCGTTTAGATGCGGCCATAGCCCCATCGTTAGATTGCGTATAATGTGCATCGTCGTAGTCAACGTCTGAGTTTTCCATCAAAGCTTCGATTGAATGGTGTTTGATTTTCGAAGAGTACTTCAATGGCATAACTTGTAATTCCGCATTTACTTTGGCGTTTTCTTCTTCAGACGATTCGTTGTGCTTTTCATTAATATCGACAGTGTTATTGAAGAACGAAATGCTGCTGGAAATAATGGAATCACTGGGCTTTTCAGTCACCTCCACGGTATCCTTATCTGCTGAGTCAGTTGTCGGTTCATTTATATAACGTCGTCTGCGTCGCTTGTCCAGAGGAAGTCTTTCACTCCGCGTTTGGTTCGTTGCGTCGTTGAGCAAGTCCTCGCTGTTTGTGTACAGTTTTGTTTGACCAAGAGTAATTCAGTCGTTGGGTCATTTGAAATATGATAGAAATACGAGTATGTGGTGCAGTATAAATGTTATGCAAGAGCAGAGAGTAGTACAATGAATTGCAGAGGTTTTTGAGCCGGATTTTGATTTTGTTGAAAATATAATAAAAAGTAAAGTGATGTCGAGAGATAAGTTTTAATCCAAAAGCGGCACAAGGATGAGGCACTAGGTGCAAGCACGATCTCTAACTAGCTACAAATAGATCCAGTACTTACCTATAAGCTGTACCAAAAGCATAAGAGCCAATTTTTCCGTGGTTCGGTATGGCATTGATGCTAGCCTGATGAATTATACCATCTCGATCCCTTTGCACCTGGCTGACGGTACTGGGCTGACCGCGATAGACACGTTGCTGGCGATCACTTTCCTCTTCCTCGACCGGCGGCAGAGTTTCGTGAGCATCGGCATACAGCTGAGATTTTTCACGTAATTTTAATATGTGTGCTTACTTTTATGATTAACACTGACCTTAGCAATGTCTTCTTCAGAGTCAAGCAAGGGTTTGGGCTGTCCTCGTGAAGTTATAACTGGATTTGGTGAAACCCGTAGTTCTGGCGGTGGTTGAATGTGTTGTACTTGTGCCTGTATGACCTGTGGCGGTGCTCGATGATATTGGTTAGCCGCTGCCTGTGCCCTCTGTGTTGTTGACCCAGGGCCGGTGAAGGCGGCGCCAAAGCGCACTCGACTCGGGACGTGCTGATGTTGCTGTTGCTTACTACGTCCCGTGCTACTCAGACCCCCCTGCGTAGAAGTGACTGCACCACCATTTTCGATTTCGCAGCCTACGTTACGTGGCCAGTCACAAGTTTGCAACTCATGTGAATACATTAACCCTCCTGTACAGCTTTCCAACAGGGCGCCTCCAAAGACACACACATAGTACTGGGTGCAGTCCGTCGGATGTGGATAGTAGCCGAATTCTTCGGGACAGTCAAAGCTAAGGACATCCGTGCTGGCCTGCTTGGGGTTTGATACAAAGCTGCGGGAGTTGCTGACACGTGAAGCACGCTTGCTTTGAGCTGTGGTAGGTGCTGTAAATTGAAAGAATACATAAATGGGTATTTTTGTCACCAGTTAGATATATATCTAAATGCTATAACCTGTATCCCAACGGTAAAAGGGCTCTATAAAATCACTCAATCGTTGCAGACCTCATTTATATACTCTCATAAATTGAACTGGAACGTTCTCTTGTTAAACGGAAATTTTGCCAAATCTATCTAAACGACATGAATCCAAACAATGTCCGTCTATCTCTTTCTATCCAAACTTATGTCTTAATTTAAAAGTTATCGCTTTTTCTGTCTTTTAGATGCTGTAACGACCGGACTTTGCATTAACTTCTTGGATTTTAAGCTGTGTTGAAAGAACCAAATGTTGTATAGTTTTGTATTTAATGTTACATACTTACTCAAGTTTTAACCAGATCGTACCTAAGACTATACCGGCTATGTAAAGTAGACATACATATATGGGTTACATTCAAAATACATTCAACGTTAAACACCTATGTTTATATAACCTAAACCTGAAGGGTTAAAGGGTATATTAGAAGGTCTAAGTGGTAAATGTAGGAAAATATAACTGTAGGTACCTACATCCTGTTCACTGTATATACCTATGAAAACTTAAACAGACAGAAGGAGGCGAGGCCGACCCCACAAAGTATATACATTTTTGATCAGCATGACAAGGCGAGTTAATATTCTGTCCGTCTGCATGAACACCTGGATCTCAGAGACGACCAAAGTGCCGTTTGTGTGTACGCTCTATGAGTTTGTTTTATTTGTTTGATATATGTATGTACCTCCCATTCTCCACTAATAGGGGTTTTCAGTTGGTGATTATGTGTTTGCCGTTTCAACATGGTAGGTGCGGAGTATTTCAAAGTCATGGCACCCGACTTTAGCTTTTTCACTTGCTTGATATCAAAATAATAACCAACCATCATCTCGAGTGGACAAAATATTCAATCAAATATTTTATGTGTTGTACCGCGCCTTATTCTTGCACCAATCGTTTCTACCAATGTACTTGTATGTACATATAAAATATTATTTGCGTCGTCGAACTAATTTACAAATTGCGTGTATTAAATGCATATATTCTGAGAATTTGGTTGTACACTAGTTAACACTGGCATCCAAATACCTCGGCTGCTATTTTACAACCAAAATCTACTTAGCATGCAGGGAACACGTCACAACGCATCGCAAGTCGTTGCTTATTAACATAAAAAAGAGAGCTTGTGAGCTCGCCCATGACCTAAAAGAAGACATTTGATTACTGTCTTACCATGCAAACTAATCACGTACCAATACCAGCTTGCATTGCTCAAACTAAGAGCCGCCAAATCAATAGAAATGCAAAACAAAAGGTCACCAATTGGATGCGACGGTATTGATTTGGTCTTCGTTGGTTCTTCCTAGACAAGTTATTTCTGCTTTAGAGAGCTATTTGAAATCTATTATTGCCAACGAAAGTGAAATGCCGTTTTCGATTTGTAATTGGTTGATTCCTACACAAATCATAACATTAAAATAAGTATGGAATGCTAGAGTACTTAAAACCCCGTCATTATCAAAAATGTATATCGGGATTGTGTCAATGTGTGTCTAAGTGTACAGTATGGAGGTAAACCAATGCAACAACAACTGCCATTTCATTATTTTCAACTTATAGCCAAAGCATATACCAGTATAATTTAGTCGTCTTTCAAGTAAATCCCAAGGAAAATATCACACCTAATATAAGCCGAATAAATCTGTTACGACAAGACGAGTATAATCGTATATAGCCACGTGCGCCTGTCCGCCTGTCAGTCCACCTGTCCATATGGATGAACGCAAGGATCCCATTAAGCACAAGAGCTTAAATAACAAAACTGAGAAACAAAGAGAGACATGTGACCGACATGTATGTCGCAAAACCTACTAGATTAGTATTAAACATTTTGAAGAAAACATTTTTGTTATGCAACATGATATATGTGACATGAGCTTTCCATGCTTTCAAAAAAAAAAGTCAAAAGATATGTCTTGATAACGTAGATCCTAAGTTCATAAAACAATTATATCACAAATGAAAGTAAATATACCACTTTAAAAATTAAGTTACTATGGAAAGATTACTTTCTTAATTCTGTAGGATTAAATACCGCTCAGTTCACTGGTACTAGAACATGTGTTTGGTATCCGCAGTATAAAACGCATCAGGATCGAGTTGACTCGGTTCAGAAACAATTCTTCTTATTTGCTCTTTGTGGAATCCAAATTGATTGCCGGGGACCAGTATATATTTCACAATCGAATATGTATTGCCTTAACATTTCCGGGTTTTATGCTTAATTTATAATAATCATTTCTTCCTGCTCTTGTGTCATTAAAAACTGATATTTTTTCCAATTTTTGTTTGTAGGTATATTTACCCCTTTCACTACTTGGCTGCTATTCGGTTAAGTTGGCCACATGGCAAACCAAATATTGGATATTAGTGTAATTCCTAGTTAGGCTTTTTTGCGGCCTTGTCGACTTAAAAAATAAAACAAATATCAGGGACCGCAGATAAGTAAAGTAAAACTCAAAAATAGTCATTATACTATATTGTAAGTGAATGAATCAAATTAAAAAATACACCTTTTTTTGTAATTGTTAATAATAATTCATATAATGATTACAGTCCTTCATTAATATACATACATATATACATACCATATACTCGTACTAGTATATGTACAAATATATGTGCTCTATATGCACATTCTCAGTAATCTGGTGTCCTTCTCGTCCCATGATTACCGGACATAAATGTGCTTATAGACCACTGTAATATAAATGTATGTACGTGTCTGTATGTTGCGGGGTGCTATTGGCACTGTCTAGCCAAGCGCATTTCATCATTATGCAACATGGCTCTGAGCAACAGTTGTCCCACATATTTTTACTTTCAGTTGTACTCGTGTTTTTTTTGCGACTTTTGAAAAAAGAATGCTCCAATTTGGCATATTCAGTCGGCTGGGCCAGCTACGATTTTACCAGTTTTTCATTTTTTTTTTTGCTTCCACTCCTTGTGCAAGCTTTCTTTATCTTTTGGTGAATGGATTTCGGGTTTGTGTGCCCCACACTATGTATGCAGTTATTTGGACTTTATTTTAACAGTTTTTGTCCAGCTCGCGGAACTTTGTAGTTGACTTTTTCTGTGCCACCAACTATTTATTTACATTTTCTGCTATCAAACAGCGCTAGTACGATCGATGTAAAAGTAGTTTTTGGTCAGTAACTCTAGTCTCGGGTAGTTAGTAACTTGTTTTCGGAGTTATATAGTACATGCATACTACGAGTATTAGGAAATAAACGAAGGGCTGTAAGCCAAAGGTAGCAGTAAAATCATATCAATCAATAAAATGGCATTATTACTAAAAGTCGGAAAGGATTGCCACAAATGTATCAAGCGTAAAACATTGCGATAGAACTTGTCGCGTCGAATGTTTCCAACATTATGGAACGTACAGGTTCTCGTACATAAGAGTAGTTGATCGCCGTTGATTGTGAATGTTGCCTACTGAAGCAGAGCCGGATCAACATTAATAAAAGCAAAGACAACAGCTAAGTAAGCAAGTAAGCCAAGCTGAGAATATTGCATAAGAGGCATACAAACAACTATTTCTATTATTTCTGAAGTTGCAGCCATTCAGCAATGCTGTTGCCAACGACGGCGGCGGACGCTAAAAAAAAGCTTGCGAAATACATACATTAAACGCAGTGGGCCACGCCTGCTTGAAAATCGATCACTTTCGCTGCCTCGTAAATCGGTCTAACCAACAAGTCGGACTATAACTACTTCTGTGTAATGTCGGACTATTTGTGACTGCATGTGCAATGCGATTTGAACAGCAGTGGCGGAGCAGACTGTTGTTGGCTTGCTCTGACGATATCTTGCATCGGGTTGGACCAATACGGTTTGTGCAATACGTGATTAGCTTCATAACACAAAATGTGTTTCGGCATTGGTTTGATCTATAGGCGCATATGCCCTTTTTGATGAAAATATTTTATACTGCTTGCCAATAATGTTCAAAGTTAGCGAATATATGTAAGTCGTATAGTCTCCTGAATAAAGTAAATCCAAATAAATAATCTTGCTATCTTTGCCGATCAGTTCAAGCCAATTGAGCTTGTTCGTACCCACAACCGACCCTTTCACAGCATACCAATGAAGGTCAATGTCCGTCATAAATAATTACGCTGGATTTCTGAATCTGAATTCCGTAGGCGGTAATAGACGCAACGAACCACAACTCACAAATAAAGAGCAAGAAAGCCATAAATAGTGCCAAAAAAACGAACAAAAATGGATAAAATCAAACGAAAATACAAGCCAAGACTAGCATGTAGACAACACAAATTTACATACAAAAAACAATTACAATTCAGTCGAGATGCATCAGCAGCACCAGCACCAGCAGCAACAACAATACATACCCGAAACGAGCTCGTTTTTCAGTCCAATTAATTTTTGAAAGGAAAACGCCCTATCGGCCACGGCCCCATCCAAATACACGCAGGTCAAGGTACACGTATTTCACCTTTCCGGTAAATACTGCGCAGACAACTGCCCTGAAAAATTGCGCGATGCTGAAATACATTTGTATTTCATTTCTTTGAAGATCTACTAAATATTCCAGGCTGCCCATCTAAGAGTAAGACTAAGATATCTGGAGTAGCCCAATTTGGTTAAGCCCTAAACATGTGGGTTTTTCGCTGATTTTATCTATCTGTCCGTAGGAATGAATTCCTAGATATCAGAGACTATCAGGGATGCCACAGAAAACTCCGGTAGTTTCGGCTACAGTTGTTTTTGCAAATTCCCAAAAAATACGTCTGTGCCACAGAACTTCGAAAGATTTCATTTTTTCGAACTTCCCCTCCAAGACAGCTGTCAGCAACAGCTAACTGTCGACGAATACATTTGGCCGACTAATTGTGCAAAGTATGTTTGTTAGGTTTGTGCAAAGTATGTAACATGCAGAAGG